ATTTCCAAATTCTATATATTAAAGGTAGTTGAAAAAATAAAATCTCGTTATCAAAGTACGATTACACTTCCCAAGTGGGTGTGGATTTAGATCATTCGAGAGAAAAGTTTCATGTCCGTCATCATATCTACGCACACACCTCGCAAAAAACGATCACAATGAATCAGCATAGTTGTAAATGAATGTATGGAGTTACAATGGCTTAATTGAAAGATTTTTACTTAAGGTTACATTTCACAATTAACAGTAAGAAGGATTATAGAGTTTGACACTTCATAAAAATTTGACATTCTATTAGCTCACCTTTCGTCTCAAATTCAATGATTTCATTCATGACCTTAGAAAGTACTATGCAATATTAGCACCTAAGAAAATAAATTAATTTTATCATTTGTTCGTGTCTAGATATATTTACAAAAAGAAGCTATCGGTTCAAATGTTAAATTAGCCCGAATGAATATTTATTCATTACTGTAAACGCTTACTAAAGGTCACTTAACTAACACTTCGTATCTGTTTCTTTTCTAGGTCGCAGTGTTACATACCTGATAATATCATTTGATTATGTAGCTAGTCGATTGAGAATACATATTATCTTATCAAAATAGAATTATTCGTTTTTATTGGTTAAGATATTTTTTCGTATTACCTTTAGATTGCATATTATCATTAGAGAATATTGCGAATTTTTCTCATGTTCTATTATCTATAAAGTAAATATGAAAAAAAAGAAGTATTTGCAAAAATGGTTGCTAGTTAAGGAGAATGTGCTTTTTTCTGCTTTTCGTTTCTTCCCAACAAAAGCACTCCAACAACATGGATTAAAAACAATAAAAGACATGAATCGAAAGAAACAAAAAGCAACTAGATGCTTGCCGATAGTGACGGAAGCCTGTTCGTGTTCTAGTTCGCTCTATTACATTTTTGGCAGTAAAAGACTTAAGAAATTCAAATAGGAGATTATAATAATGTACACACACGTGCAGCCAATTATCTCTAAGTAGAATTCATATTATTTCCAATTATCTCGTGTACTTTTACTTTCAATTATAAATGATTAAAATCTCAAAATTCGAAGCAAATATATATCACGCATATAGATAATAGTTTCATAATTGATAATTCTAAACATAAAGTACGTACTTAGTTTGACCAATCATGAATAAATTTTAAAAAAAGTGAAATTTTCAAGTTTGTTCTAAACTCAATTCATTCTCTGTGCCTCGCCATTTTGATCAGTGCGCATACAAAAGCAATGAGTAGGTGCATGAGTCAATTTATTTTTCTTCTATCGAATCGAATTAACAGTTTAAATCTATTAATAGAATTAAGGATCTATTCTGAATATGCTAATTCGTGCTCAATCTTTACTCGAAATTTGATATATCTTCGTCATAGCTATCGGTTTATACGAATGTATCGATGATGACTGAAATGGAATCACAAAATCTAATATGTTTGCCATTTCTATCAAAGTTATGTAAATAAAATGATCATATAATTCTGATCATCGTTGGTATTCATCTAAAATTAACAACTAACTTACTTGTAATATTCGTCTGCTACTAGCCGTGAATTGCTCATATTTAAGCTAGTTAGCCGCGAAATCTACAGCAGCACGAGCGACATTATTTCATAAACTCCATCACAATAACTAGTTTCCTATGAAAAGACTCTAGTTGTTGTTAGTTCCGCTGATATATGCATATATCAAATGAAAAATACTCTCGTGATGTAATCATTCCAAGTTCAGATGAAGAAGCTGTTTAAATGATAGAAATCGTACTAGTTCTTTTTTTTCTTGGAGGATAATATTCTACAATATTCGGAAGTTTAGAATATCATGTTCAATATGAACAATTACTACCAGAATTTCATCAATGCAAATAACATATCAGAAGATATTTACTAAATATATCTTTTACTAATTCGAAATCAATATCCCGATTGGCTCAACTCCAATCGAGTATATCATTATCGATAGTGCAGATACTGCACTAGTACTTGTATAAAAATTTCCACTTGAACTTGGATTTTTCTTTTGATTCCTCTTCTGCAAATGAACAAATGGAAATCATAATAATGAATTCTTACGAGAAATTGATTTTCAAGATCAATCCTACGCATGCCTGTAAAACACATAAAGATCTTGTCGTGATGAAAAATTCTATTTGACTGTTTACGATTGAGAGTCAGTTTTCAAGAGACGAAGCGCAGTACCGAAAAAATAGGTAGACTGATGCATGAACAGTTTTCAAAAGTAGGGGAGATTTATTCTCTGAGATGTTTTGAATAAATATTGTTATATATTTAGCTACAAGTCTGAATGAAATTCACGTGGTATACTCTATTGTTCTTACAATTCAATGATGCAAAACCAGACTTATGATTGTATTCAGTTACGCACCAACGAGTCAGAAGATTGCCTTTTACTAAAAGAGAAAGAACGACAGTTAACAATCAACAATACATCGATTGAGCGACAAGTTCGATACTTCTATGTTTAAATATTTTTTGGATTCTATTCACATGAATATGTCAAGATCAATTCGTTCCTTTCTTCTTTGTTATATTTTCTTCACAAAAAAAATATAGTACAATACTGATGATTGTCCATGAAAAAATAAAACAAAAGAAGTCTTTCAAAAAAAAAAAAGAAAGAAAAGTTATAAAGAATGAAGACGACAATGCCTTTTTAAAAATGAATTAATTGAGCATAACGGATTCATAGGTAGGTATCATATATCTACAAAAGAAGTAAACATGACACAAATCAATTCGCCGTTAAACAAAAATAAATATTTACTTGATATTGATGAATGCATCTTCGCCTCCATTTCGTTCGAATGCTTCAAGCGTTTCATTTATCAAATCTCCTATATTCTCACGTCGCTGTTGTCCATATTCAATGCGATCACCCAAATTTGCTTTAAAAATAGAATAAAATTTGATTAATTAACAGAAAACTAAACATCAAATATAAAACACTACTTACAATTCCAATTTTTAAAGAGATTAAATATCGGTAAAATTTGACGATAATAAGGTACAAGCGCTTCTCCAATCATATCAGCTGACATAACTAATTGTTGAAGAATTTTTAATGTCGTACATATAACCTTATGGTTTCGCGTATTTAATGCATCTAGAAAGAAGCGATTGAAAAATTCATTTGATTTATTATTTATCATTTTTTCATATGAGATCAATTAAACATACTTTTGATCGGTACAATAAGTTGTGGAATAACAGGTAAAATTTTATTACCACCATGTTCAAGCATATCATGAATGCCTTGACGAGCAAAAAAATCATATGGATGATCAATTTCGCATAGACCATCGAAAAATAAAGGCAAATAGTGATGATAGTCAAGTTTTTCAATTTCCACCTAGGATTATAACAGTTATTAATTATATCAAGAGAGAAAAAATGAACTCCAGTCATACCTTCCAAGCAATTTTATTTCCTTTTGTATCGTGTTCAAGTGCTATGGGAAAGTCACCACGCTCGTAGAATTTACGAAAAGCTGTTGGTTTGCTATTACGAATTCGTGTTGCTTCTGCTGATGGTGGAGAATTAACCTAACATAAGGTGAGTTTTATTACTGTTTTTGGAGAAAACAAAAACAGCTCAATTTAAACAATTCGAATAGATACTTTAGCATTTTTTAGAAGAGACTTCACAGTAAAACCGTCGGTTTCCAAGGGTCCAGGTTGGCGCAGTCGAGTATTTGGTTCACGACGAGGCGATGTAGCTGTGGCCATTATTTGTTATCGAGTTCTTGAGAGTGTTTCGATTTTACACAAGTGGCTTACTCTTTCTTTCTTTTCTTTACTGTTTATTGACAACGACCATTATAAAAATTCATCGCCAAGATACAATCCTCGTCTTCCAACAGTTCACTTCGTTTTTTTTCTTTATTTAAGAAACGACATCTTTTATCTTCGGAGTGCTGAACAGTCAACGAATTTATTATCAATAGTTTTTATACAATACAGGCCATCGTATTTCGACGCAGATGAATTGTCGGTCTGTAAGTGGAATATATCTGCTTTAACTTTTGCGTAGAAAAGCTTTTATTTATGACCACCAAGAGATTTTGAGAAGACCACTTCAGATTTTTTTAATTCTAGAAACTATTATGAGTTGTGTTTTTATTCAAAATACGATTATATTTGATCGAATAATGGATATAGTATCATAAAAGTACAAGTGTTATGGGTAAATGATATCAATATTCAGCAATATATTTCTGTTTTCAATTAGAAAACAGCTAATATTGTCGGTATTCGCTTTTAATTTAATTGTATTCAAAAATAATATTATGATTTTCATTCGTTTGTTATTAAATCGCTTGTCTTTACTTTAGTAATAATTGTTGAAAAAAATATACTCATGTCATCAAAGTTCAACAGTTTACGGACGTATACAGAAGAAAATTTTAAATCATTCGAATAACATAAGAGAATCTCTTATCAAATAATTCGCAAATATATGCTGTTTTTCGTTTATCAACCTGTTCGTTTTCGCAAGTATCGTCTCAATATTAATATTTGCTTTCTTTTTCACATTATATTCGATACGAACACAAACTTGATAGAATGATTCGATGAGAGATCAAATTTTATGTTTCTATTGATGAGTTCTTGTACATTTGATCATATACCGCATGCATCATAATTCAATTCATGTAGATTTATTCAAAAGCAAATCTCAAATACAAATCTACTGTTCAATCATGCGAAAAAGAAAAAAGTCTATTTATGTTTGTCGTTATGAAATGATTAGTATATCACAAATCTACTGTAACGCAACGGGATCAAGAAAAAAAACATTGGACCAAATCATAAACAAATATAAAGCCATGAGTAGTTGAAGATATAATGAATCATGATAGTAATACTAAGGATCAGATGTACGCAACAAAACGAAAAGGCAATCTTGTTTATGTTGGAAAATGAAACGCGCACACAAATGGATACTGATTTTTGTTTTGATCAATTTTCTCCACGATATGGTTTTTTGGGTGAACAGTTCGATGTTCTTGCAGGCTCTCCCCAATATTTATTCATGTTATTTTGAGCACGTTCAAGTGTTTTTGATGCTAAACTACAACTTGATGTTAGCGATCGAGCGGAATTTACCGAAAGAACATCATCATCATCTGTGAAAAAATAGAATAAAAATGAATATCATAAAATTCTTAGAATATGCCAATCTTTTTGTGTACTCAAAAAAAGTGAGTACACTCTAGATTCGGTCAGTGTGTCCGACCGTTAGCACCATAACCTTTGAAAGCCTCATCCAATTGTCATGAAATTTTGTACACATAATGATCTCATTAATATCTCAGTCAAGTTCGAAGATGAGAAGGATCCGTCAAGAAATGGCTGAGTAGTTATCGAAAAAATTGTCATTATTGACCAGACCATTCCTGACGGAGGGGGGTACAGGGATGTTTTCAAAAAAACATTTTTCTCAGAATTATTCAAAACATATATAAATCGACTCAGTTTTTGCAGTACACATGAAAATCGGATGCGAATCCGATGTTCCCTCAGTTTTATTTATTATTTTAGAGAATCACTAAAGTGCATAAGGTCGAAAGCATACCTATTCGAGATCTTGACAAACTCTCTTAATAACAAATGGGCCCATCCTTCATTGTACTTAGGATAACTGTCATTTTCAATGACATATTCATCAATACATAGAAAGATTAATGTTTTGTACATCATTTCTCGAAAAAATCTGTTTTTAAATTTAAAAAAAGTGATACTAGTGAAGTACACTATACGCATCTATTACTGAACTAGACTTAAGCAATAGTATGCTTGACAAAATAATCTATCTTTCAAAACCAGAAACCGCCAACGTCGTGTTAAATTTTAGGAAATAGATAATCAAAAGAGTAACAAATAGTGAATTATATTTTAGAGTTCGCTCCAGTTTTCGTTCATTCGAATGAGAACATGTTGCACTGCAATTTTTGTGTTAATATAAGGCATTAGAAATAAACTCTTCGAAAATCACTATCAAAGATATTTGCGATTTTTCAGGAAACAGATCAGCCGATTAGAGAATGAAGATATCATTCATCTATTATGGAAGTTAAACATTTTTCAATTGAGTTTTTGTAAGATAAACTAAAATATATGACTTATTGTGATTAATGGGAATAAGTTTTTATTGGCTGCACATTTTAATCAAACAAATATTGTGCTAATCATTTCTTACCTTTATGACGTCTATAATAAGTTTGACCGAAATTTTCATTAGGCCGCTGTAGATGATGCTGAAATGCAGATTTTGAAGCCGGTGTATGTTGATTTGGTTGCCTATTGTCATCTCTACCATAATAATATTCTGTCACTTCATCTTTAAATCGACTGCCTGGATATGAGCAATCTAGTTAATAGAATATTTAATAAAATTAGAAAAATAGCCACATTGATAATTATTTACATTCATTCGTGCTCGAATGAGGTCGTCTATCAAATAAAGGTGCATCATAACTTGGTCGACCCGTAGCATTATGAGATTCCTGATTACTTGCTACTGAATAATTAGCAAATCTATTTGGTTCCTTGTACTATGTGTAAAAAAAAACAAATGAAACTGTTAGAAAGATGAAAACGTGCGAATTCATACTTGAGATATTCTTTGAAGTGCTTGTGGTGAAATACAGTCATTATTTAGATTATTTTGTTTTAATGCTGCTGATAATGGTGAATGCATTGTTGTACCTCGAGATTCTTGTTGTTTTGGTAATCTTTTACGAATCATTTTATTCTTATCTGCCAGTTTATAATTCGTATATTTCGTTTCATCTAAGCATCTAATTGAAGTAAAAAAGATCGTTTTTAATTGGCAAGTAATACTAATAAGAGAATACGAACATATCTGAGTTTGTTTCTCGGCTATACAGACTGTCTGATTCCCAGGACATATGTTGTTGCATCGATGATGAACTAAGATTACGTACAAAAGCTCGTGTGGCTACACCTGGTTCTTTTGCTGGTATTTCGTCAATATAAATAACACGATCATTTGGATGATCAGTTTGAATCGTTTGATCAGTTTTTAATATCAATGCCTTTTCAGGTTGTTTTGGTCTTTAAAAAAAAAGGCTTTTTATTGATCAGATTTTCGTTTGTATTACTTGGTGTAATAAATTGGTTTATTGACTTGTCGTTGCGCATCCTTTTCACGACGACATTCACCTTCAATATGTTCTCGTTCTAAATCACTATTTAGAAAGCAAAAAAAAGAGGTTTTACTAAGCGATTTTCATATGACAAATACTAGACTATTCTCATTGGTCATCTCTTACCGATCGATTGAAATAACACTGTTGGTATCACCGTCGTTGGCATTCACATTACACCCTCGATAGTAATTATTTGAATCGAAACCGGATGGAAGAATGTTATCACGATATAGGTGATCTTTTTCTGCATTAGAACGATATTCACCAGCTTGTTTTCTTGTTGACATCAATTCTGTATACCAAAATAAATTCGGATTAAAACCAGTTTCTTCCTAAAGAAACGAAAACAAAACAAAACATGATTGAAATACTAAGCAGTTTTTGCTTTACCACTGATGCATCTTTATACCATTTGCCATTTTTATAATCAAATCGCCAGAATGGTTTATAGGTCGATTGATATTCCGATTGCCAACGTCTAACAAAGAAAAACAAAAGATTAAAATTGTACAATTCGATGATTGAAACCTTAGTTTTCCATGTGGGTATTTTTGTCGAAATTCATTTCCTAAATCAATATTTCTACCAATATCTTCATCATCTGTATGAGCATGGTCAATTTCGACATATTCTTTTCGTTTCTAAATACATAAAATTTAAAATAAATGTTCATTTATGGCATCAGTCTTCTAATTCGGATGTGTGAAAATTAGGGTTTATCAGATTTCGAACTACTGAATCTGAATTGAGTCAACTCTACTAGAGAGCTTCGATCTTTTTCGGTCAATTTCGCCTCTTAGTAAAAATGTAAGATAATGAGTCAATGATTAACAACAACGTATTTTTATTGTTTTTTTTTTCATGTTACAATGATCAACTTTGAGCTCAAATCCGAATAATAATTTTGGTTACCAATAGTATTATCTATCTGTTCAGAGTTTTGCATATCGTTTACGTATAAAATCTTAGTATAGAATGAATTAGATAGGAAACTCTTGAGCTAATTGATCAAAACTATTGATACAATACACAATGCGTTGCTGTTCAAAGTTGCTCCAACTAGAAGGGATCCTACTCAAATTAAATGAAAAAAAATTACTCGATCTTGAACTTCTTCAGCTTCGTGGGCTTTTCGCTGTTTTGGATTAACATTTCTTCGATGTTCCTTTGTTTTATCATGAATTGGACGAAATGGTTTAGTTGAATTCAGAACACATCGTTTTACTTGTTGTCTATTTGCATGAACATCATCTTCTAAACGTTTTGATGTATTGACACCTAGAGAAACGTTTTTCGGCTGATGAAAGTGAGCCGATGGTTCCATTAATTCCAAACGACGATCACGCTAAAAATGTCATTTATTTAGAAAAACATAAATTTAAAAAAGAATCTAACCAATTCAGAATTTTCATTATATCGTTGTTTGTTAACTAAATCATGTGTTGAAGGTTTCCAATTATATTTTTGTTTATATTCACTTCGTCCAACAGTTCGTTTCTATGATATTGAATGAACAGAAAAACAACTGTTGTCTAGTACAAAAAAGCTAAAACTAAAATATAGTGTACTTTATTCGAACCAGCATTTTGTCGATATTGAGCAACATATGAATTACTAGGTGCATTACCGATTTCCTAAATAGTAAATTATTAATAACAGACAATATTCTATTTTTATTCACACGTACAGTTTGAATGCCACACGAATGATTTTCATTTGGACGTTGTCTTACTACAACCTATTAACAATATGGTACATATTTAATCAATTTTTCAATGTTTTCTTTTAAAAGGAAAAATATATTCGTCAATAAGTTATTGCCAACTAAATTTTTTTGGATTTATTTCTACTTGATTTCAACAAGATCAACTCTATGAATTGAATGCAATCTTCTCCATAAACTATCAATCGATAAAAAAAACTAATTTTGTTTTGCACTATTTCTAAAAATGACGACTTCGATTACACGCCTATCAACAGAGAAGATGCATCGTAGAAATCTATCGTGTAATATATAATGAAAATCATCATTACTGCTGATCACAACACTATTTCGAAAGTTTCACAACCTTCAATTGAACATTATTATATGAGATGTTTCTAAGCTCTCTGCCATCATGTATGTTTGAATGATATCAAATTTACGGAAGGTCTTCAACTGACAATCTGTCTAACTCTTCTCAATGTTCAATGGTTGTTAGACTGTGCACGAAGAATATTTCTAATCTATCTATCCATTCTATTGTCATATTGCAGATATCTACTCTCTTTGCAAAGCAAGGTGCCATCAGCAACTCTTTTCAAATGGTTATAAGAGATAATTTTCATATAAGTGCATGTTTGTGAGATTTATTGTGATTCCTTAATGATGACTATCGATATCATTCTCATAGTTCAATCATACTTACTAATTTATCGCTAAGTTGTTTGTTGTTCAGCTATACCTGATTATAATGCTTGATCCAATATACTATTTTCTATTCTGTCGCACAGTTCTAATTCAAGGTTATGCAACTAATTTGTAAAGAAAAACAGAGTTCATGTTTTAAATATGATTTTCTATTCTGAAAATGAGTACTAAAAATGTTTTTCGAGCTTTTTATAAGCAATGAAGCTAATTGCTTTATCAAGAATTTTAGTTCATTTTTTAACATTACTTTATCTCAGACAAACAAATACAGTATTGATATTTTAATACCTCTCAGCAAATTCACAAGAGCAACTGATTAACTGTTATAAATAGAGTACTTGCCTTTCGAATTGTCTACTTATGTGATCAGACTGATTTGATGTTCTACTTATGACCTCAACAATAGACATTGAACGAAATGAGAAGCCCCTAGGACTTTTTTTTCTTCTGTCGAGGTATCAGGTGAGCAAAATCAACTTATTCATGATTGTATTGAGGTAATAAAGAAAAAGAAGGTCGAATACATAAAACTACTTTCGGAACAATGCGCTTGCTCTTGATGCATATCGTTCTTAGTTGTCCTCTATTTGTTCAAAGAAAGTAACACAACTTATTCTTTGTTAATTGCCAAAGTATGACCTCATTTTTGAAAGCAATATTCATCACCAGGAGACCTTCTGTTCACCAGCGCTTATCGTGTGATAAATCTTTTCGAAATGCCTATTGGTTGATTGTAGAGAATAATTGTTTTTAAAATCTTGAGCTTTACTTAGTTAACGACGAACTAATGTGTTCATTTTTACTGAACAAATAACTCATGAGATTTATTCAAAAACTGTTTGGCTAGACTTAAGTATTTTCATCGTGCACGAAATATATATTGATATTCAATATGTCTGTAGATCAGGTCACAAACCAATAATCAAATACTATAACCTATCATATTGATAGTTCTGAGTGATATTATATAAAAATAAGATTATATAAACATTTCCTACTCTAGGTGAATTGGTGATAACAGGATTTCTTAATGGATAAATAACATTATCTTCAAATTTTTGATTTCTTCCTAAAACGACATATTCTTGTGACTTAGCAACACGAGGATGGTGTTGAACTGGATGTCTCAATCGATAATGAGCTGAAGTAGAAAATTTTTCATTAGGTCCTACGACAACAATATCATCGGTGTCATTATAATTTCGATTTGGTGAAGCTGGTAGTGATCGACGACGACGAGATGGAGATGACGATGAACGTTTTGGTACTGAACCAAAGAAAACAAAACAAGAAGCATAAATACAACGAAAATACAATCAATAGACCTTCGCTTAATTTTCTCTCCTCCGCTGAAAGTTCATGGAATCTTTTTGGTGTTCGATTTTGATAATTTCGTTGATATTCAGTCTAAATTTTACAGCTCAAAAATGTTTGAAAAATGTTTTTCTTTTAAATGCAATTTCTTACTTGATACTTCATTTTGCGGTTTTAAAAAGAAAATTCACAAAGAGCACGATCATATCGCTTGATAAATCAGTTCGTTGTCATATCAACGTCATTTTTACAAGAAATGTATGGCAATTTATTAATAATGTATTATTGGAAATAATTTTATTTTTGTTTTAAGAAATATTTCTTTAATTTAAAAAAATATTCGCAGCGACATCTAACAATTTAAATAAAAGTTGGAAGGTCGTTGTTATTATGTACCATTCAGTTCTGACTACTTCATCATGGGGAAACGTGCAAGTACGAAGAGATTGTCTTCGATGTCTGATGCAGGTTTTTATTTTACTCGTTCCTATGCATTAATATGATTTCTTGTTCTGTTCCCTAGCTTCAAAAGCAATTGACATAAAAGCCCGTAAACGTATTGAAGAACTTTATGAATTAACCGATGAAATAATCAATGCTTATAATGAAGTTAACGAAACCTATGTGAATAAAGTGTATCGAAAATATAAACAATTACAGGAAGTTAATAAAAAATTAAAACAACAACTGAACCATCATCATTGTTCTGGTTGTAAATGCACGATTCTACCCAATGACAGCACACAAAACGAAGACGAAGAGGAAGACGACAACATTGAAGATACCGATAGTTCAACATTAGATGAAAATGATCAAATTTATGAGCAAACAGGTAAATCAGCTTCATCATCGACGACCACAAGATCCATAATGACAAGAAGCAAGAAAAACAATGGTTAGTTTAGTGTTGTTTTTCTTTTTTTAATTTTCTTTTCATAACTTCTTCTTTAGCTTTCCTAATACCTGATATTGAAGATACGCAACATTTCGATGTTAACGATAGCCGACTTAGTAGTAAGTTTGAAAATTATTTAAATCACAAACAGAACACAAACAAATGTTATTTATAAGGAAAAAGTCCTAGTACTGATGCCGATAATCAAGATAGAGTATCCATGGTCACGAATCAAAGTGAAAACGAAACAACACACAATGATAATCAATCCGAACATGAAGAGGAAGAAAGTAAGATTCTGATTTCAGAACTCCAATCAAATTGAATTGTTGAAGTTTTACGATTTTTTTCTTATCTTAATACATAAGTACTTTTATTAGTGGAAAGAAAACAGCTTGTTTTTATTTGATCTGTAATATACAAAAACTATAAGACAATGCCAACGATGTAGATCATAATGCATCATTAGTACTTGCTAATAGTTTGTTTCTGATATGTTATTAAATTTATTATAATATATATTACTGTCTTGATTCATATTAATTACGCAAAAGAAAAGTGCATAGTTCGAGATGATGGCTGAATAGACTACTCCGTAATATTGAAATCATAGGTTTTAATATCTATTGAAGTCTAACCTTTCTGACTCAGATTATAAGGTTCGTATCGTATCTTATATTATTGATACTTTCTATGTAAAGTCCAAAATGTAAGATTACATAAGATTTTATAAATACATGTTTAAACCTGGTATTTTCTAGACGGTAAATACGAAATTATTTCTACCCTAATATTGACTCATGCATATGTGCATAACTTACGCATATATGCATAACTCATTCTGTACGTATTTGAAAAGAAATTATTTTAAGCGGAACTAAAGGCTGATGATAAATTCTGTAGTATTAAACGAATTATAATTCAAGATAAATCGTGCAAATAGTCTATACTCAAGATTTGTTAAATAGGAATAAATTTTGGCAGAAATTTTTATTAGATCAAAACGAAAAACAAAACTCTGTTTACGTACAGATCCCATCTCGCCCCAATGGCTAAATTTACGTTGGAGATTCTTCCTATACTATTTTAGCATTTTGACTAAAATTCTACACGTTTAATAGGCATGAAAATTTTTTCAAATTTTTATAATTCGGAATTATTTATTATAACGGTTTATGTTAGTACATATTGAACCGTAAATTATTTGACAGAAATTCCCTACTATAAACCCATTAATGAGAATGACTGAATAAAAATGTCACGGGAGTCACAGGCAATATTTAATGTTCTGTTTTTTTTGCCAGTTTTATGTTACATATCCATATTGAAACATAAGTTAGGCTTATGACGTATATTAGTTTATCATAGTTATTAATACTGCATCATATTAGAAAATTTGATATTTGTGTCCTTCAAATTTTCATCTTTAATATAAATAGGAAAAACCTGACATGTTGCTCGAGTTTCACATTGACTCATAAATGTCGTTTTAGATCAAACAGGAAATATTCTTTAGTAGCCATTGAATTTAAAAAATGGAGCGAGATCACGTTTTGAGATTTCCTATAGAGCACGTTCAACTCAAAAGAAATTTAAGACTCATGGAAATCTATCAAGATCAACACAAACGATGTTCAATTTTTCTATGAAAAAATCTGTTTTATGTTCATTCGGAGATTTTTTTAATCGTAGCAATTTAACATGGTAACTTTAAGTTTAAACGTGCCGAAGTACGTCTGAAAATCTAAGTTGAAGTCTATTCAAATATAAGTCGATGATCCGTATCTGAGAGCTGAGAATAACAGTGAGAAATTCTAAATTATTTTTATTCATTTATTAGAACCATGCATACTACATTTTACTTCCACAAGTCTAATTCAGTAATATTCCTGCCACTTAATGCAATTGATAGTACATATCAAAGAAATCTAATCACACTAAATATATACTCAGTTTTTATTTGTTGACTAAATGAAAGTTTTGATAATAAAAATTCGTGATTATTATTAGCTGCACAATGCTTTAACTATGTGAAAAGATACAATAGAAATATTGATATCTATCGATTTTCAATTAAAATAACACAAAGGCAACTGAAGTCAGACCATCTATTTTGAATGGTTACAGAAACTCAACACAGTTCTATGTTATCTTAAAAAAACATAATCTAAAAAATGCTTTGCTTTTGTGTTCATAAGGATAAGAACTTAGACAAAGATGAACAGATCAAATATAAAAAAATCTTTTTAACAAATATTTATCAGGCAGCTATGATGACTATTAAAACTGTGAGATAATCGATATTCGATTTTGAATTTGGACTCTAGAGTTTCGAAATTACTCTTTCGAAAGAGAAAATTTAGAACGAAGTCACTGATATTTTTGTCATCACATTGTGTTCGAACAATCGTCGGTCTATATTTATTGTAAAATGAATTTAGATTGTGTTTTTCGAATTTCTACAAGAAAATAAGTGTTTAAAAACATTAGTCTTATTAAACAATTCATCCGAGTTTGTCTATAAAAAAAAATGCATAATTCTCGTCAACAATGATCGTTTTTTTTCTCAGTAGTATTTCAAAAAGTAATATACTTCTCTAGAAATCGACAGCATCGATCTAACCATGTGTGAACATCATTAGTTAGATTTACGAAAACGTCGAAAGGAAATAGCTAGCTTTAAGAGGCTTTCCAGTTCATTGGTCCTTTTTATTTTATTAACAATGACTTCTCTCTCGAGTATTTTTCTTCTTGTTTGTATATTTGTATGTCATGCCGTAATCTTCGTCTGGAAGTATGTATGATTCTGACATGCCGAATAGTTTTTGTATCTAGTTTTCCCAGTTCATATTCTAACAAAACTGTCTCGATTCTATATGCAATTAATTATATGTATATGTAGAAAACGATGATTAACATAAATTAAATAAAGTGATGACTTCCACAATAAGTTTAAAGCGACCGTACATCTAGAATTAATTATTCATGGCGTTACCTATACAGAAGAAAAATAGATTTAACACCTTTTGTATTATTTTTAATAACTTCCGGAAATACTAGCAGAGTGTTAATTTTCTTTTCTTTGGGGAAAATAATAAAACTATGTTACTAATACTACATGATCTTTTCTCATTGCAGTTGGTAACAATAATGATGAACATGCACAAGAAGAAGAAGAAGAAGAAGAAGAAGAAGAAGAAGGTGGCGATGATGAAGACGTGGATAATTTGCCATTAGCCTTACAGGATATTATTCGAAAGAAAGCACAAAAAAATAAAAATGCTAAAATTTATTTACTTCACATTCCTCGCTATCCAGCATTATGCGAATTTCTTCGTGATAGATCTCGTACATCGTTTGATCATCGTCCGAGTGAAAATCAAGTACGTCCATTGATTGCAAATCATCTTAGTGAACAAATGGCTAATGATGCAAAAATCCGTATGCGTTTACGTGATGAACTACGTGAAATACATCGATCATATATGAGAACATTCATGAATGATCCACATGCAAATGCTACCAAAATATCTTTTCATAAACATAAACGACTTAATATCAAACAAAGTCCTATGTAACCTTATATATTCTTGTTTCTTTTATTTTCATGTCCAATATATGATTCTTTTTCTTTTCTATTGTATAAATAATTAATTTACTTATTCTTATAAAAATACAGCTAAAGAAATGGTATTGTGAATTAAAAGAAGTTTGTTTTGTAGCCCTGAAATGTGCTTGATTATTTGTGTAATCCGTTCTGTTTTCTCTATTTTCTCTTTGAAGAAACGCTAATTCTATGAAATAAAGAAGCAAGATATAATAATTGAACTATTCTATCAACCAGGTATATAATAAAACTAATGTAAGTATGAAATCATTATATTAATATGACATTCTTTGTTGTTTTCTAAGTGTTTAATAGATATGGTTGAAATAATGACTAGCAGTACTTAATGTCAGATAGACTGAACCTAAATTAATTATATCTGTCAATCAAACAGGAAATTTTCTATTCAAATAAAATTATTGCTAAAAAGTAATTGAAGTGTTCAATTATTTATAACATGCAGATGTTCTAAACCATATAAATGCTTAATTTTTTAGTAAATAATCACGAAGTCAGCTGAGTAAGACTGTTAAGAGGATAGAAAAATCCTCAAGGTTATTCTGTACTCTATTTTCCATGCGCTCTAGATTATAGTCACATGATAAATATATTTACGTCTCGTTAAACAATCTTGTTTTTCTTCTTCTTCTTAATCAATCGTTTTGCGAATCATTAATAATATTAGTTTTAATTACGTCAAAAACATAATAAACTAATATTAAATATTAGATAATTTCAATAATCTCGGTCAAAGAACATGCACTCTGCACTGTATACTAAAAAAAAATGATCACTACAAGTAGTTAATCATAAAAGTATTGTTCGTATCTCCATTTAATTGAGATTGTAAAAAAGAATGTTTATTTATTTTTCTCATTTTTATACAATTTTTAATTTTTAATGGATTGAAATAATTTGAGCATTATATTTCCACAAAATAAGATATTTCATACAGAAAGAAGGCATATGAAATGAGAGACATGTATAAATGGAACATACTGTTCTTTAAAAACAAAAGTAAGAGAAAAACTTCAATACGATAGGAACACTCAAAAACATACCAATTAATTAAACAAAAAGGCTTTTATGTATATATTTATATGATTCTAAACCGGTAAACTCAATGGATTAGGTTATTTTTGAGTTGATTTTTCATCATAACTGACTGAATGAATGTAATGGGACGAATTAAACGGTAGAAATTGAGATTTTAGTCGATCTAAAGCATATCTGCTACTTGACATGAGCCAGATAATTCAGGTTTGATACACATATTACACATAGGACATGTACAATTTCGTTGTAGCCATGGTGATAAACAACGTTTATGAAATGCATGCTCACATGGACAAACAGCTATTTCTTCATCTTGATGAAAATCGTCAAAACAAATAACGCAACTCTATATGAAAAGAGAAATTTTCACTGTCGCTCAAATTGAAAAACAAGTAAAAAGGCAAATGAAAAAAATACATACGGAATTTTTTACTTTACATTGTGTATATTGATCTTTTCGGTAGCCTTTATCTCGAAATGTATCTCGTCTAAGTCTAAAAGTATGTAAAACAAATTATTCTCCTTTTCTTTTGGTTGTTTGAAAATAAGAACACTCACCGCCATAAGTAACAACAAAAACATAGACTTAAGCATAAGGTCGTCAAACCGACCCCGAATATTGGTAATGAAACAGTACTTGGTATTAATATTAATGTATTACCCATCTTGTTTTGATTTTATTTGTTAATAGTAAGACAAATTTCACTAGCATATTATTTTTCTACTCCGATAAAGTCAGCTAAAATATAATGAGATATTGCATTGATGTCGTTCTTACATATAATTATAGCTTTTATTTATGGTGTTTATCTCTCTTTTTTTCCTTCCCTATCTTTTTTCTGGAAACAAGAAGAAAACACATTTGGATTGGTTTGGTTAATTACTTCAAAAATAATCATGTATTTTTAAAATACATGTCAAAAGATGTTTTAAACGAATTTATTCCAAATAATCTCAATTATTATTTCTTGAAAACGAGATCGAACTTTTTCTGTTCGGTCGTACTAGTAACAGTCGGGTTTAGGCGACATCTATTTATCGCGGTGTCTTCTCACCATCACCCTAGTGGTATATGTGTGATTGCATTCATTAGGTTTATGTATCGCATAGAAGAAACTCCTGTCCTATGTTTTAAAAATAGTTGTTAGTCTTCGTTGTTTTTATGTTTGGTCATCTATATCATGGAATGCGGCATTAGTGAAGCGAAGATGAAAACATTGAACTTTTACAACCACCAGGAGATCTTTAACAACCTTTCTGGTGGGTGAAAATTCAATAATTTTAATTGTATTTCGATATATAATAGTTGGTAATAACAGGTCGAGCATAATCTCTACCTGTCGGGTGTGAAGGTATGTGGTACGCTTCCTTCCTGTCGCACCTTCATATATAGATGAATATTTGTAAACCCTTCTATATCTAGGATAAAAATCATTTAACTCTTTATAAGTAATGAACTCAAGAGTCTGCGGAAAAATGTATGAGCTAAGTATGTTTCATTCATTTGCTCAGTTAAATTACGATCGATGTAAACATAAAACTAAAAGAAGATTCGGAAGGCGTAAATTCGAACTATAGTAATTAGTGCGTGCATCGTTATCTTGCTATTTCTAGGCGTTCAATAATTTATTTCGTTTAAATGAGAATAAATTTCAATGTTTTAGTGTATTAAATTCAAATTATTAGTATCCAATAGGCTTCTCTTTATCGACACTTTGCATAGAAACAGATTTTAACCGTAGTCATAATCAAGATTTTTGTTATAATCTATTTCGGCAAACAATACTTATCTATCATGCATCTTCAATAATATAACGAATCGTACTTCAGCAGTAGAATTGAACTGATCAAGGAACATCGTATCATCTGTAATACGATTAACATAATAGTCATCGTGCTGGAACTTTTCTCATCTTTGTAAACAATGTAGATAATGCGTTCTATTTGACTATGAGAAAGAAAGACGCGCTTGAACTATGATCTTTTCATAAATCGGATATGAGTGGTTGTAGATAAGCTTTCATTTCCAGTTAAATATTCGCATTCATTCTCTCAGAAATTCAGTCAGTAGACTCATATTTATCTTCTCTTTCTCTGCCTCTATTTCAACTTCCTGCTTTAATTCTATACACAAATGATCAGTATGTAAACTTTAAGTCTTTAGTGCAAATATAAAATAGAATAACGCACAACATTTGTCAAAGCCAAGATCTTTTCACTCCGATGATCTATCAAGAAAGGCTTGTAGGGAAATATGCGCAGCAGACAATGCAAACAGGATTCTCAACATTGGTGCCATGTATTGTACTTATTTGGTTTTCATGGACAAATATAACAAAAAAAAAGAATCTTCAATCTTTTGTTAAATACTTTCATTTTTTTTATATTGATTCAAAGAGCAATAAGAAAGCGTATCATACATCTCACAATACATCGTACAGCCATGAATAGTTTCTAAAGTAACATGAGAGAATTATTGTAAAGAACAGAGAAATTCTTTTCTCCATTTATTTGGTTTCTTCCTCGCAATAAATTCATTATTACATATGTAATATGAATATTTAGGATACAAAAAAACGCTATCTAATATGATTTATCTCATGGAGAGAAGATAGTCAGTAGTTAGTGACTGATCATACAAAATTTATCAATTTTTATGCCTTGAATTTGCATTACTTGTCAAAGTGATCGTAATTTTATCGTCTTACTTATTGAACTATTTGTACCATATCTTGAAATTAGGCGTTAAGCTACGATTTTTATCTGAAAGAATATTAAAATAAAATAAAAGATACCGTCATTACATTTATTCACTTCCAACACAAAGCAAAACATTTTCATGCTAAATAGTTTATAAATCTGACTAGAATATAATAAAAAAATTCCATTGTATTTTAAGTAAAGCATTGAAGCGAATATATATGTATTATGCATATTTTTTTCATTAGAAATCTAATAAATATTTTAACTACTGCTTCATTTTTCTTTCCAACAGCTAATGCTACTATTGAATACCAAGATATTCAACTCGAGAATGAGATTTTCAGTTCTAAGGATTCGAATTTTAATAAATCTATTATTCGCTTGAAACAAAAGCTCGAAGCATTTGTTATCTTGCACTGTCCGTGGCTCACAAAAAATAAATAAATATTATATTTGAAGTTAAACGAACATTTAAGTTTTATCCTCTACTATCAGATGAACTTTATTTTTACAATCAAATAATAAGAATTTCTTCTTTGTTTTTGAGCTTTTTTTAACTTGAATCTGATGATCATCTGGAAGGCAAATATTTTGATAAGTCAAAAATAAAATAAACAATCAAAAGTTTTCACCTTCTAATAGCATTCAATTTTTAAGTCATGAGTTTTTTTTCTTTCTTTCAAATCATCGGGGGCTTCATCATATCATTCTATCGATTTAAATAAAATTTTGATACTCACGAGGGAAGGTCGCCAAGTGTTACCAACCATTCGGGTTCATATTGTGCTTATAAGTAGGACCCAGTGAGACTAGAAAAAGCCTGAAAGATTTCGTGCCATTAAGCCTATCTTTCAAAGTTATAACCGTTTCACTAAACTTTCGAGCTTGGACAAGGAATTTACAGAAAAACTGAATGAAAGATTTTCGAACTGAACTTTTTCCTAATCATAGGTCTCATCGATGTTAGAAGGTTGCAAAAAATTTCAGTGAAAACGGATGCATCATTCTCGAAATATTGCAAATTGAAGAGAAGTCAATTTTATGACATTTTTTTGAAAAATGGCCGTTTTCATCAATATGCAATATCTCAAGAATGATGCATCGATTTTCACTGAATTTTTTTGCAACCTTCTAACATCGATGAGACCTATTGTTAGGAAAAATTTCAGTTCGAAATTCCTTCATTCAATTTTTCTATAAATTCCTTGTCCAAGCTCGAAAATTTAGTGAAACGGTTATAACTTTGAAAGATAGGCTTAATGGCACGAAATCTTTCAGACTTTTTCTAGTCTCACTGGGTCCTACTTATGAGCACAATATGAACCCGAATGGTTGGTATCACTTGGCGACCTTCCCTCGTGAAATCATTTAATAAGAACATATTAATCGACTATGAAAAGCTGATTTCGTATTATCAAACAAAGTCGATATGAAACGAAGCCTTGAAAATGAGTAAAAAAAGAAAATATGCACATGTCAACAATCGCGCCTCTAATGCTCTTTATTCCCTTATTTATTTCTTACGAACATATTTCTTTATCTAGCAACATTTTTATTTCATTTTCTTTTCTTCGTTTCTTAAACTAAGAGTAATGCTGCTCGACTTTCATTTGATGTTGTAGTTCGGCAGACAAAAGTGATGCTATTGTTTGATTAAAATGCACATATTTAACTAAAGTACATTGATGCTCGACACAAAGAACACACTATCGTAATTCGTTAATACTCATAAAAAAATGTCTGTTGCAACTAGCAATATGTTCCTTTGTTCTTCATCAATGTAAGTAGAATCGTTTCATTTTATTTTTTTGTAAATAACAATTTAATAATTAACATTGATTATTTGATCTGAATTGTTCAAAACGCCTTTGTCAGATGGACAAGACGTAGAATGCATAGGAGACTACAGACAAAGTTACATACAAGAAAATATAACGCTGTGAGTTGAATCTTTTTATAAATTTAGTTATTTATTATAGTTCATTTTTACTCAAATAGAGATAAACTTAACGTATGTTTCGTATTTCATTGAAAAATTATTCTATATCTTATTCGAGGTAGAATCTGCGAGTTGTATAGTGGGATCAATTATGTTTTTGTTATCACTAGTTTTAGTAAATATTAAAGTCAACGATACTGGCACGGTTGAGAAGGAGGGAAGTTGAAAACGCAGAAAAATGATTTGTAGAATTTTCCTAACATTAATGATATTCTTTAAGGAAATCTAGTACAATTTTCCGCGATTATAACTTGATAAATATTGATTTAGGAAAAACGAAGGAATTAATTCGAAATAATATCAAAAATAGACAAAAATCTAATAAGCTTTTTATCAAATTGATTTTTCAGTTTTTGATTATCGTCAATGTGGTCATCTCTATAGCTGTAATGTAATATTGCCATAATCGAAGTCTAGTGAAAAAAAGGAAAGTATCATACTTGAGACGCATCAGTATATCCAATAGAATGACATGATCATTGACTCTCTTTGACGAAATAGACTCTTCAACCCAAAGACTAAATTTAAATTAATAATACAATTGACTTCTGAAAAACAGTTAGAATACTTTATTTGAATTATTTGCTAATAGAGACTCATGTGACCTTCGGGAACAATGAGTGTGGTCGCGATAAACTTTCTATCAATCTTCAATTGCCAATTCAGATCTTTTATATTAATCAGTTCATTTCATCTGACAGTAAATACTTGTCGGTAGTATCATTTCGATTTTGTTTCTCATAAAGCGTTGTTGAGAATCAAATTCATAGACACCTAAGAACATCCCATTTTATTGAATCGAATATTCTAAAACTGAATGATTTGAATTGAATGAATGCAACAATAAGCAATATATTGAAGGAAATTCATTGACATTAATACATCGATAATTACCTATATCCCACAAAAAACAGCGTGAATTTATGATTTCATCTTGCAGCCTGTGACAAGTATAATTCGATTGTTCTATTTGCCAAGTAAAGAACTTTAATTATATGCATCTGTGCATTTTTGTATGCAACCAGTATGGATGTTTGCTTTGTAAGAGACCATACTAATACAAATAATAGACTTTTCATGGTTCATGCTGCCGATGGCCTCGATGCCAATTGTGATCCGAAAGTAGTATTTGAACTGATTATTACTATTGGCCATTGAAATCCCTGTTGCTCTATACGAGAAACAAAATCTCACTTGCTAGACATGTGTGTTACATCTGCAGAAAAAAAATGATTAAAAAGGAAATTGTATGCTGAAATTTGATCGTCTGCTTTAGTCAAACAAGAGAATTCTGAATACGACAGAACGCATGAAAATTTTCTTGAAATGAAGTTGAAATCTGATCTAGCAGATTTGAATGGGGCTAAAATTGATTATCTAGAAAAGTGAGGAATTTCGAATAATACCAAATACTTTCAAAATATATGGGTCTCGCTATTCATCTCTTGAATCGGAAGTTTTGATCCAAATATTCTATACTTGAATAATACAAATAATCGACTAGCTTATTTAATATCATTTAGATATAATACTAAAGCTTTTTTAAAATTTATTAGCATTTCCTATAGTACATTTAGTTATTTATTTTAAATCATCCTAATCAAAGAAAATTATTTATATCTTTTCACTATGTTCTATAAAAATAGACTATGACAAATGTATTTGTTCACGACTTTCATCATAGTGAAAAGAAAAATATTTGTATTTGATTATAGACAGAATGTGCTCGAGTTGAGATTGGCTATGCAACAAAGTTTTGTTCATCGTACACTTCAATTTCTTAAAAAAATAGCAGAAGAAAACATTACAAATATGACTCTGTCAAAAAACTAACTACTTAAAATGAAATTATTTTTCACGGAATTTCTTGAGTTTTACAGAAGTAGCATTAAATTTCTTTAGTTATTCAAGTGTTTCTATAATTTTCACGGAAATATCAATATTGAACTAATTCAAATTGGATAAAAATTTTTAGGGTAAATAGAGTGAACTGTAAAGCAGAACTGTGTTTTTCACTGTTCAAAACTAATCTTACCGATATGAATCATACAAGAGCAACGTTCAATTTTGATTGTCAACAGTTTTGCAACCTTTTACGAACAAAAGGCATAGAGAGAAACTCCAACCAAATGAGTTTATTCAACTTCAAGAATACATTTCAAGAGTACTATTAAAACCAAAAGTTAAATTCAATTGTAAATACTTTTTATAATGTTCAAATGTTCGACATTGCAAGTCAGATATTCTAGGGCAAGTTTCCCTATTTGTCTTATCGTAGTACACACAGAAGCAGCTAAACAGGTAAACGTAACAATTGATTTAACATTCAAAGTAAATCCAAAATCATAAAATTAATTATAATAATGTTGCAACTAAAATGATTCTTTTCATTAAAAAAAAGGCCAGAATGCATAAAAGGATCGATTTTCAATATATATATATTTATGAATGAAAGTTATTTTCATAAATAAAATTATTCATAAAGTTAAATCAAAAGCTTTTCATTGAAACTCAAGAGGATGCTAGGCAAATACGAATACTTATTCGTACTCGAGATTTTAGACGAACGGGATTCGTCCATGTGAATAAGTTATTTTAAAGCGATCAATTAGTAAATTTAATACTGTCATTGTGTCGATATTATCAATATATACCCTAGCATATTTTCTCTCATACAGAATGCTAAATAAATTTCATTATACATTGAATGTTCAAGGCCTATTAAAGAATATCAAATGTTGGTTTTCTTTAAGAAACTTCTGTGAAAACATGTAGTAAATTCTCATTTTCTTTTGCGACAAAATAATTGCTTATCATATATGTGCAAATAGAGTAAAAAGAAATCTTTTTATGTTTTCTTAGAAAACGTGTAAAGAGAAAATTATATTCTAATGTAAATTACTGCGATGTTTTCATTATCTTGACCATATTAAAAGAGAACTCTTGTTGACAACAGATAAAAAATGATTTTAAATACAGATGCGTCGTATTCTAGTCTAGACTTATGAGAGTAGTGCATTGGGATTAAACTAAACATACAAGATATATTGATTGAATAATTGTTTTATTTGGATATTTTTTTGTTCAACATCGACCATGCCTACGATGATTATGAACAGGTTGTACAATTCTTTTTCGTTTCTTTTTCATATTTTTGCATAGGTGTTAGAAATTGTTTTTTTTTCGTTATGTGAGACCAGTTACCACTCATTTAAAGTGCTTAACAGCAAAACATTGTAAACGAAAAACAAACTGCGGCATCTCTTCCTTCTCTATACCAAACTAATCCTTTCAACAAATAAAACCCCATAAGAACAAAATAGTGTAAGAAGATTTGTACACTTTTCCCCATTATTGTATGAAATAAAACATAAAATCTAAGATAAATAAGAGTTAATGGCCTACGCAACTCGTAGTAGTTATTTTTCATGGCCCGAACAAGTTCCTATTTCTTTTACTGAATGGAAAACACTACTTTCAAAATTAACAAAGGAAGAAATTAATAAACGGTCATTTCCTCTCTATTGTTCTATTCCAATAATCTATGCTGATTTATAATTCAATAGACTTTCATCAACTTCGGATCCTCATCGATTGACAACAGCCCGTCAATATTCGCCGACAACGAAACGAACTGATCAATCCTTGTCGAGAAATCAAGTCTTTAATGATACAATAGTTGATTCATTTCTTGTTTCATCATCCAATAACGCTCAATCATCAACAAATATTTGCCAACACGGTAAAAACAGAAAAATAGCATCGAATGATTTCATTGAATTTCTTTTCTTGATGATAAAATATTCTTTAATTTAGAAAGACAAAGATTAATTCCATCGCCGAACAAACGTTATGTTTCATCATTTAAAACACTTGTAAATTCAACTAGTGGTAAACATTCACAGCGAGTGAATTACGTTAATGATAGTGTTATTATTCTGAAGTTATCAAAAGAAAGTAAAAAATAACTTGAAAGAAAATTATTATTATAATTCAAAAACCAAAAAATAAAATACTTAGATGAAACAGAAAATACTGGCGATAATTTACAATTATCTGACAAGAATTCTTCGTCACTAATGGCAACATCAATGGGTCATATAACTCCATCTCGGAAAACACCATTTCTTGCTCCATCAAGATTACGTTCAGTATTGAAACAAGAAGCACAAAGTAAGTAATAATATATATTTTTATTTTTTATTTTCTTTAAGCATCAATATTATAATGCAAACAATTGATCGAACAATGCATTCAAGTTTTTATTTTTTCGAGCTTTTATAGTTATATATTGATTATAAGCTTTGGCACGTCATCGTAAAAAAAACCGAAACAGTGAGGAATATGTTGAGAAGTCATGAAGAAGAAGAAGAAAAAGAAAAAGAAAAAGCGAAGAACGACTCGACAAAATAGTCCAATACAAACGAGTGAGAAAAAGAATAAGAGAATTGACAACCTCTGTTCGTGAAATGAAACTCGCTTTACGCACACAACGGCAAGCTGCAATAAAAAAAAGAACCATTTTTTTTTTGTTTTACTTTTCTACATAGAGAAAGACCATTCAAAAATCCTATCATTCAAATGTGCCGATCTTTCGTTATTCTATTTTTCCAGATTAGGAATATTTTCATCATTGAGAATTTCAATAGTAGTTCACATTCTGATGATATATATTCAAGGATTGTTGATTCTATAACAGCAACATTTCTCACAGACTGTTTGAAACGTATATTGAAGTTTCTACTATAATTAAACATTTTAACGCTCATTTTACCTTCATATTCTTTGGTTTGGAATGCATTATACCTGTCAGAGCTCACATTCAAAGATATGCGAGAGAATAGTGTTAGTTGCGCGCTAAATAAATTCGAAGAACAATTCTTCAAGACTTGTTTTAGATGTGTTGTATATGAATTACGCTATTACATGAATAGATTTGTTTTTTGAAAGATCATAATCAGGAATATTTTCAATTTTATTGAAAACTAATATAATGTACGTCAGCAAGAATTTATGATTGCCGAAACTAACTTTTCTTCTTTTGTCTGATTGTGTAAAATAAATATCGGTAAGAGTTTGACTAGAGATTTTCTACTATGGATAAGACCATTTTATTCATTTGTTGAAGAAGGAAAAACGACATTATTTGTCATTGATAAGAATTGTGTGTTATTGATTACAGTGCTGTTGCCTAGAAATATGCACAGTACTTTCCAGCATGTGATAACAATCATTTTTAAGTTTATCAATAGAATATCAGCAAAGAATCGATTCGTCTATTGAATTTAAAAGTTGTATTAACTTTTTTAAATTCTCAGTAGTTTCCAATATTATAATTGTGCGAAAGAAAAACAAGGATTTATTTTTCTACTTGTTCGACAATAACAAATTCTCGAAATGCATGCCTATTTAATTTATGAACAACTGGAATTTTATTTTACATGCCCATTGTTCACCATTTTTAGAACGTCGAATTGCAAATAATGATTCTGCTTCAAATGCATCAATTAATAATCATCTAAATCTTGCTTCAAATTCAACTCATAGCATGGCAACGAGTGCAAGCAGTCATTCGCCATCAAATCCATCTTTATTTACCTATCGAAATTCAATAGTTGGTGGCAACACCATCCGACAAAGAGCATTCGCCGAGACACCTACGAATAATATATTAATTACAACAGAACGATTAAAACCAAATATATCTTCATCTATGCGTCCAACACGGCAACCCCTAGCAACAGCAGCACCAAACACGTCGGCAACCTATCTTTCGTCTCAATCAACATCACCCCAACAACAACAGCAGCAGCAACGTAATACCAGTCAAAATGCAAAATCACGCAGTCAACAGGATAAACCAACGAATTTTAAAGGTATAGCAATATTTTTATAAATTTCATAATCATACAAATTATATTGCAAACGTAAACATGAAAATAAATTCAATAAAGTTATTTATAGAAACTTTCTTCAGAAAGTAAGCAAACATATTATTCGGACTGTTATTCATATAATGACGAAAAAAAAATAACAAAAAATATTAATAGAATCATGACATTAAAGATTTCATACGAAAAGAAAAAAGATATAGATATTCACTATTGTTCTTATTGTTTTCTAGATCTTTATGAATATCCTGATCCATTTACAAATTGTCCACAAGAATTTTTAAGTAAATTAGCTCAGCTGACGAAACTGCAATTGGAAACCATTGATTGGGAGAAAAAACGACGATTTACAAAGAAAAAAACGATATCGAACGGGCTTATGCAAGGAAAAGACAGCCCTTGAAAAAATATATTTGTGAACAATTTCTTTTCTTTTCATATTTTGTTTATTTTTCTTTCACTTGTCTCACACGAAAAAGAAATGTTACATGTGCCTTTAGAAGTTCTTTTCGGTTTTTCTTCTTTTTCTGATGTGAAAAGTGATGATTTTATGTGAATATTTAAAACATGCACATCATTCTTATTTGAAAATGAATGAAAAATCCAACCAAGCACCTTTATTTTAGCGAGAATAGTGTTGGAATAGTTTCAAAAATTGTATTGTATTAAAAAATTTAAGATAGAAATATAAACTAATTATTTTATTTTCTTTCGAATAGAATGTTTAATAAAAATTACAATGAATTTCATTTCATTTATAGTTTTTCGATAAATCTAACTGTTCCTCATGAAGATCTAACATATTTTCTAGTATGAACCGGATATTTTGTATATATGCGTGCAACAATAAACCTTCAGCATGACTACCTACTCGCGTCTAATCGGTTTATATGAATTCCAGTTGTGATTTTGAATATAATTTTGTTTTCCTTATAAAATCTATAATAAGCAGAAGCATGTGCTCCTCAAGTTTTGTTGTTATATACCAGACGCTATGATTATCTTACTTCTCTAATACTAAATATAACATCAAATGCTTACTGTCTCAGAACTAAACTCCATGAAATTCAACATCCACTCGTCAATAGGCATCGTTGATAAGAATTTAATATCTCAGTATTTTTTTAAATGTCTTCGAATGAAACTCATACAATAGGTAGTTACGACTTTGTTCTTTTTAATGAGGCTTTTCAATGAATATATTCATTCTAACATTCTTGACATACGATGATCATACACACAAGAAGGAGATATTGCATAAATTCGTTATTCTAGCACGTGCCAACTGATTGCGGACGGACTCGTGGTTTCGAATAGGTTTTATTATTGTCGCATGTTGAGACGTACTCGAAAAAATTAGCTCAATATCATTAAGAATAGCAACTATGCATGACAGAGCGACAAGTTTTTCAAACGTTTGTTTCCGCATGATATTTTTGTCCATGTTGATTTTGAGGATGTGTGTGTGTGTGGATTTGAGAAAAAAACAGTTTTTCCACGACATATTTTGTTTTTTCATATTTTTAATAAGCGTATATTAAGACATTGCATCGTTAACTGTCAAAAAGCATAGTTATAAACTAGAGCATCAACCAGGCCGTATTTTTGTAGGCCTGGCCGGTCTGTGACAGGCCTTTGCATTTCAAGCCTCCCTGTGCCTGTCAACTAATTTGTTTGGCCTGGCCTGCCTGACAAGTCCTGTCATCTTTTTTAATGCTAATACCATTACGAGGATAGAATAGAAACATGAAATTAACGTTGAGAATGAAGAAAACCAGTTTAATTAATTTAATATGGCTAGATTAAGCATTTACTTATCGAAGTTTTCATACAAAAAAGAATACATCAGAGACAGCATGGCATAGCATTAAGAAAAAAAGTAAAGGTTTTAACAATCGATAATACAATTTTTAACAATAATCAATAAGAAAGATCTAAATAATAATAAGAAAGAACGAACTTTTTACCACAATCAATAAACGAATGCTATTAATCAATAAGAAACTTGATGATAATCGATAGTAAAGATTTTAAGAATCAACAAAAAAATCTATATAATAATCAATAAAAAAACGTTTTAACAATAATCAGTAATATTAAAAAAGACAGATAAATGAAAACACCAAGAGCTAATGGAGAAAGGAAAGGAAACGAACTATGCAATTTGAACTAAATATTAGTCATCATTTGGATCAATCACAATGAACACAGAACATTATTCTATACTTCATCTGATTATTAGCGTCACCTTCAATTAAAAAAGTTTATATCGAAAATAAAATTATAGATATAAAGAATAGAGACAGGCCAGACAGCCTGGTGTTTTTAAGCGGCAGGCCAGGCCTCAAGATCATGGCCTGGTTGATGCTCTGTCATGAACGATATATTTGAACATCCAACAGATCGACACTAGAAACAATCGTGATATATTTCTGTTTTTTTAAAGAATTTCATTGAATAGTTTTCACTAGTCACTGATATGACGTGTTATACATAATTTGCAGTTTCAAATTCGTTTTTGATCCAACAGAAACGTTTCAGGATGTCCAACTTTAGAATTTTTCTCCTATCTTTACGGTGTAGTCATGTCGTTGGCAATGACTCAACATATTTCATAAATTAGATTGATACAGACCCTCACACCATTTATCATCTAAAAATATCTTCAAGCAAACATTTCTTTCAAGCAAGAAGGTAAAGATATTGATAACTGGTTATTTTCTATAATAAATTGTATGATTTATGTTAGAGATTATACATTAATTCTTGGAGGGAAACGTGCATACAATTTGTATTGCCTCATATTCAAATGAATAATCATACTCAATAATACTGATGACAGGATATAACACTGACATTAAGTCCACATCAGCTAAATGAATTCTTGTAAATACACGGATGCTTGAGAAAACGAAGTCTTTATAAGTTGTATAACATTGCAATTTGATTTTCACATCTTTTTCTTTTATTTTCAATGCATCTTATTAACTGTAGATTGTTATTATTTTGAATTGTTCTCGCATTACTATCTAACAAGTTACTTGTATGAGCAAACCAAACCTATTTATTTAAGTTATCATTTTTGTTTTTATCATCACAAACTCAGTAAACTATTGACATCACTTTTCTATTTCAATGATCAATTACTTATTTTGACTTGGCCTTTTCTCTTTTACAACATATATTACGATAAAAAAACGTATGTTATACATAGTATATAGTAACAAGAAAGCAGAAAAAAAATCAATGAATAAACGAAAAGCATGTTGATGTTCTGTTTAAGATACAATACAAAAATAAAAAAAATTGAAACACACACAACAAGGAAAAACAAATATCAAAGAATATGATCTCGTTCTAACTTTATGTCTGCCTAATAAGTTTTTACTTATAAGCTTTCACCATCGTGTTCGTATGAAGATTCTCGTGGTACACCAGATGTACTATCACCTTGTCCGTATAGTTTCGTTATGATTGGTGTCACAATTTCTTCCAGTTGCTTTTTATGTTCTTTCAAAGTGTCAATGTCGGCATCTTGATTTGATTCGATCCATTTGATTTGTTCTTCAACAGCTTCTTCAATAGTTTGCTTGTCAGTATCAGACAGTTTACCACCAAGTTTTTCTTTATCACTTAATTGAGTTTTCAATGAATAAGCATATCTACAAAAAACGAAATCAGCGAATCAATTCTTTCACAACGATTAGAGAGCGAAAGAGTAACTTACGATTCAAGTTCATTTTTAGCATCAACACGATCTTTGACTTTTTTATCTTCATCTGCAAATTTTTCTGAATCTTTAATCATACGATCGATGTCTTCGGGTGATAATCGGTTCGTATTTGAATTGATGACAATATTATTCTTGTTTCCTGTTCCTTTATCTTCAGCAGTTACCTAAACTCGCAAGTATAATTAAAACTGAAACACTAATAATGCAAAACCTTACTTTAAGAATACCATTGACATCAATTTCAAATGTAACATCAATTTGTGGAACACCACGGGGTGCAGGTGGAATACCAGTTAAATCAAATTTACCCAAAACATGATTATCTTTTGTCATTGGTCGTTCACCTTCAAATACTTGAATTGTTACGGATGGTTGATTTTCAGCAGCTGTCGAAAAGATTTGACTTTTCTTTGTTGGAATAACTGTATTACGTGGAATAATCTTTGTCATTACTCCACCAACAGTTTCAATTCCCATTGTCAGCGGATTAACATCAATCACAACGATGTTTGAATCACAATTTTCATCAGATAGAATACAACCTTGAACAGCAGCACCATAAGCTAAACATAATAGAAATATAGATTTCGATTTTTTCCCTGTCACATTAATCAATAAACTTACCAACAGCTTCATCAGGATTAATACCACGTGATGGTTCTTTACCATCGAAGAATTCTTTGACTAACTGTTGAACTTTTGGAATACGTGTTGAACCACCAACAAGAACAATTTCAGCAATATCAGATTTTTTCAAATGAGCATCTTCTAAAATTTCTTGTACTGGTTTCATTGTTAATCGAAATAGATCCATATTTAATTCTTCAAATTTAGCTCGTGTCAATATTTCACTAAAGTCTTCATTGTCAAAAAATGATTCAATATCAATCTTTGTCTGATGTTGTGATGATAATATTCGTTTTGCTTTTTCAACTTCACGACGAAGCTTTTGAACAGCACGATGATCTTTCCGAACATCTTTACCAGTTTTCTTTTTGAACAATTTAATAAAATGTTCCATAACACGTAGATCAAAATCTTCGCCACCTAAATGTGTATCACCATTGGTTGCAACAACTTCAAATACACCACCGTCGATTGTCAATAATGATACATCAAATGTACCACCACCCAAATCAAAGACAAGAATATTTTTTTCTCCTTCTTTCTTATTTAAACCATAAGCAATGGCAGCAGCAGTTGGTTCATTGATAATACGCATTACATTCAAACCAGAAATTGTTCCAGCATCTTTAGTTGCTTGACGTTGTGCATCATTGAAATAAGCCGGAACCGTAACAACAGCATGAGTTACATTCTTTCCAAGGTAAGCTTCCTACACGATGAAGAGAACAAACAATACTATTAATTCAGTGAAAATAGAAAGCTTCTACTGAACTTACAGCTATTTCACGCATTTTCCCAAGAATCATAGCTGAAATTTCTTCAGGTGCAAAAGTTTTTTGTTCCTCACCAATATTTATTTGAATTGCAGGTTTCGAATTCTTATTAACGACTCGAAATGGAAAATGTTTAATATCCTGTTGAACACTTGGATCATTAAATTCACGACCCATTAATCGTTTAATATCGAATACAGTATCTAAACGTGTTCATATTATCATAAAATAGTAGAAATTTAACTACAGAAAAATGCAAACATACTTTCA